CCTCTATTGTTGGTACATATCGTCTTGTCTCCTTTTTTGTGCACGGGACACAGGATGCTGAGGTTCCAATCATTGGGCATGCATTCTTTTAGCCAAGTTGTGCATGCTCCTTAGCAGCATCTGACCTTCAGTCTTGAATAGTTCGGCTTGTAGTCCATCGGCACCTGCTGCTTTATTATTCTTCAGCCGATTGATTGCTATTCTGACTTCATCTTGGCTAGGTGGGGTATCCTCTTCACCGCTACTATTTGATACCAGAAGTTTTTCAAAATGCTCCTTCCAGATCCTCTGCATACTGTCTGTATCTGTCACCAGTACAGGGGGATGTGCCTGCACAAAAGCCTTCGGTTTGGTGTTTTACCCGTTGGGAGAATTTCCGAACTTCATTCTGACTCCTGTACATCTCGATTTGATCACGCTCACGTTTTTCTTCTTTTTTCTGAAAATACGTTTCTCCTCCCTCCTTTCTCCCGATAATTCTCTCTCGCATTACGTGTTGCTACTGTCTGCAGGGTTGCCCTATACGCTGCGTTTTTCATATCAGTAGCATTACATTATTATCGGGACAAGGGGTGCTTTCGTCAAGCAGTTGGGTAAGTTGAGCGGAGTAGGCTTCTGCTATATGTTGTGTTTGCAGTTTTTCGACTTAAAATTTCCGTGTTACATTAGATGGGACCTTTGCTGCTACATTAAGATGGGTGCGTACCTTGGCTGCCACAAGGTAACGGTCCAAATCGATATTCGCCCCTCGGATCGATCGGACGTCTAAAACACTGGATGAATGCCTTCCGTCTATCACATCATGATCAATTTGATTTCTCGTTGTTTGATCAGGAGAAATCCAAGTTTCCTTGTGTATGTCATGGAGGCTGAATCTTCCGACGGTGGGGCCAAATATATTTTCCACGCCTTGGATGATGATCCTTGAAAAATATTCTTTAAAAAATCCACGCCTTGGATGATGATCCTTGAAAAATATTCTTTAAAAAATCCACGCCTTGGATGATGATCCTTGAAAAATATTCTTTAAAAAATCCACGCCTTGGATGATGATCCTTGAAAAATATTCTTTAAAAAATCCACGCCTTGGATGATGATCCTTGAAAAATATTCTTTAAAAAATCCACGCCTTGGATGATGATCCTTGAAAAATATTCTTTAAAAAATCCACGCCTTGGATGATGATCCTTGAAAAATATTCTTTAAAAAATCCACGCCTTGGATGATGATCCTTAAAAAATATTCTTTAAAAAATCCACGCCTTGGATGATGATCCTTGAAAAATATTCTTTAAAAAATCCACGCCTTGGATGATGATCCTTGAAAAATATTCTTGAAAAAAAAAAAATATTATTGAAAAATATTCTTTAAAAAATCCACGCCTTGGATGATGATCCTTGAAAAATATTCTTTAAAAAATCCACGCCTTGGATGATGATCCTTGAAAAATATTCTTTAAAAAATCTACGCCTTGGATGATGATCCTTGAAAAATATTCTTTAAAAAATCCACGCCTTGGATGATGATCCTTGAAAAATATTCTTTAAAAAATCCACGACTTGGATGATGATCCTTGAAAAATATTCTTTAAAAAATCCACGCCTTGGATGATGATCCTTGAAAAATATTCTTTAAAAAATCCACGCCTTGGATGATGATCCTTGAAAAATATTCTTTAAAAAATCCACGACTTGGATGATGATCCTTGAAAAATATTCTTTAAAAAATCCACGCCTAGGATGATGATCCTTGAAAAAAATATTCTTTAAAAAATCCACGCCTTGGATGATGATCCTTGAAAAATATTCTTTAAAAAATCCACGCCTTGGATGATGATCCTTGAAAAATATTCTTTAAAAAATCCACGCCTTGGATGATGATCCTTGAAAAATATTCTTTAAAAAATCCACGCCTAGGATGATGATCCTTGAAAAATATTCTTTAAAAAATCCACGCCTTGGATGATGATCCTTGAAAAATATTCTTTAAAAAATCCACGCCTTGGATGATGATCCTTAAAAAATATTCTTTAAAAAATCCACGCCTTGGATGATGATCCTTCAAAAATATTCTTTAAAAAATCCACGCCTTGGTTAGATCCTTGAAAAAATATTCTTTAAAAAATCCACGCCTTGGTTAGATCCTTGAAAAAATATTCTTTAAAAAATCCACGCCTTGGTTAGATCCTTGAAAAAATATTCTTTAAAAAATCCACGCCTTGGATGATGATCCTTGAAAAAATATTCTTTAAAAAATCCACGCCTTGGATGATGATCCTTAAAAAAATATTCTTTAAAAAATCCACGCCTTGGATGATGATCCTTGAAAAAATATTCTTTAAAAAATCCACGCCTTGGATGATGATCCTTGAAAAAATATTCTTTAAAAAATCCACGCCTTGGATGATGATCCTTGAAAAAATATTCTTTAAAAAATCCACGCCTTGGATGATGATCCTTGAAAAAATATTCTTTAAAAAATCCACGCCTTGGATGATGATCCTTGAAAATATATTCTTTAAAAAATCCACGCCTTGGATGATGATCCTTGAAAAAATATTCTTTAAAAAATCCACGCCTTGGATGATGATCCTTGAAAAATATTCTTTAAAAAATCCACGCCTTGGATGATGATCCTTGAAAAATATTCTTTAAAAAATCCACGCCCTGTTTAAATGCTTGAAAAAATATTCTTAAAAAAACACGCCTTGGATAATGGTCTTAGGAACTGAGGTCGGATTTTTTTTCTGTAGAAAAAATATCCGATTTTTTTTCTATAGAAAAAATATCCGATTTTTTTTCTATAGAAAAAATATCCGATTTTTTTTCTATAGAAAAAATATCCGACCTCAGTTTTTCTATAGAAAAAAAAAATCCGACTTCAGTTCCTAAGAATTATTATTGAAGACCATTTTCTTGACTGCAGGAGAGCGAATGTGTCGATACTTTCTCATTTCTCAATATTTATATTTGATTTTTGTTAATCTGCTATTTATACTGGGTCATCTACATACACACACATGATGTGAATGTTTGTGTATGTAGAATGGTCAGCCACTTAGTCGACCAGCTATTGTTGCCCCCCCCCCCCCCCCCCCCCCCCCAAGTCCCTCCTCCTCACCCCCCTTAGGGCCACAACCAACCAAAGCAAACATTTCTTTTATTTCGTTGACTTTTAAGCTTATTACGTAGTATTGCTGACAAATGAGTAACGCAAATAATTGTGTTACCAACAAAATTTCTTTTCAAGCTCTCCCTCCCTTTCTCTCATGCTCCTCTCTTTCCACTCTTGTTCTCATGTTTGTTACCTTGTTTATTTTTTTCGGTTTTGGCTAAGAGGGGGAATTCTTTGGTTATTTTAGCAAGTTTTGTTGCTTTTTGTTATTGTGGATGAACCACTTTTTGAAATATTTACATTGAGTTAATGTGTGTGTGTGAGCGTGTGTACACATGAGTGTTGGTTTGTTTGTTCTCATGCGTGTGTGGCTTGTGTCTTACATTTTGTAGTTTGTTTTGTGGTTTTTAATTTTATTTTATTTCTTCGAACCATTACGTTTTGTTGTTTTATCATCATCATCTTCTTCTTCCTCACCGTTGTTGTCGTCTTCGTCAGTCATTTCGTAGCACCTGCTAAACAAATATTTGTGATAATCCGAGAAGAAGAAAAAAAGCTAGATGTGTGAGTGTGTGTGGATAGTCATGTTGAATGAACGTGACTCCGAACTAGGCTACAGCTGTCTATTAAAGAAGGTGTAGAAGGATGAGAGAAAATGGTTTTATTAACTCACCATGCGTATACTTAATATTAATTCATGATATGTATAATACGCCTAATGATGCTGGGCTTTTATGGATTTTTATGCTGGAAGGCATGGATTTTTTAAAGAATATTTTTTAAAGACCAATAAAGAATAGTTTTTCAAGGACCAATAAAAGGCGTGGATTTTTTAAAAAAATATTTGTTCAAGGATCATCATCCAAGGCGAGGATTTTTTAAAGAATACTTTTTTTTATGATCATCATCCAAGGCGTGGATTTATTAAAAAATATTTTATCAAGGCCTCTACTAGGCGTGGATTTATTAAAAAATATTTTATCAAGGATCTATAAAAGGCGAGGCTTTTTTAAAGAATACTTTTCTCAAGGATCTATAAAAGGCGAGGCTTTTTTAAAGAATACTTTTCTCAAGGATCTATAAAAGGCGAGGATTTTTTAAAGAATATTTTTTCAAACATCTAAACAAGGCGTGGATTTTTTAAAGAATATTTTTTCAAGGATCATCATCCAAGGCGTGGATTTTTTAAAGAATATTTTTTCAAGAATCATCATCCAAGGCGAGGATTTTTTAAAGAATATTTTTTCAAGGATCATCATCCAAGGCGTGGATTTTTTAAAGAATATTTTTTCAAGAATCATCATCCAAGGCGAGGATTTTTTAAAGAATATTTTTTCAAGGATCTAAACAAGGCTTGGATTTCTTAAAGAATATTTTTTCAAGGATCTAAACAAGGCTTGGATTTCTTAAAGAATATTTTCAAAGGAGTACATTTCTTAAAGAATATTTTTTCAAGGGTCTACCTATATCTGTAAGTGTATTAAATTGTATATATCCTCTCCAATTGAGACCACGTGTTTTCCACAGCCACTTGTTACACGTGGACTTGTTACAACACCACATGAATTGGTGGGGGATACATATCGAGTGTCTTTGTCACACGTCATTTAAGAGGAATCTCTTGGGTTGACATGTTCGAACACAACATGTGTGCTGTTGTTACACTTATCCCCCAGGGGTAGTCGGTTCACTGATTGTCATAGCCAAAGAAAATAATATACATACAACTTCACATACCGTCAACGTATGATAAATGTTTGCTATATATACGCACTCAAGCACAGTGGTTAGTAGTTGAAAGGAGTTTTATTTTACAAAAATATTTACAAATATTTTTCAGCACCTTGATTTAAAAAAAAAAATCATTTTTCTTCTTTATTGAAATTTCACAACTTTTTTAACATTTTTGCGAAGAACAATTCTTCCCAGAGGTTGACCGAATCCCTCATGTTGTTGGTAAACATGCAGGCCGCGTACAACTGTGGCATGGACCATACCACGTAGACGTTGATTCATATAAGGTGTGGCCTAAAAAAAATAATTTAGAAAAAACTTTAAAGAATATTTTTTCAAAGGTCTCTCCAAAGCACGGATTTTTTAAAAAATATTTTTTCAAGGGTCTATATTTTCAGGGTGTATCGAAGGCGTGGATTTTTAAAAAATATTTTTTCAAGGGTCTATATTTTCAAGGTGTATCGAAGGCGTGGATTTTTAGAAAATATTTTTTCAAGGGTTTATATTTTTAGGGTGTATCGAAGGCGTGGATTTTTAAAAAAGTATTTTTTTTCAAGGGTATATATTTTCAGGATGTATCGAAGGCGTGGATTTTAAAAAAAATATTTTTTCAAGGGTCTATATTTTCAGGGTGTATCGAAGGCGTGGATTTTTAAAAAATATTTTTTTCAAGGGTCTATATTTTCAGGGTGTATCGAAGGCGTGGATTTTTAAAAAAATATTTTTTCAAGGGTCTATATTTTCAGGATGTATCGAAGGCGTGGATTTTTTAAAAAAATGTTTTTTCAAGGGTCTATATTTTCTGGGTGTATCGAAGGCGTGGATTTTTTAAAAATATTTTTTTCAAGGGTCTATATTTTTAGGATGTATCGAAGGCGTGGATTTTTAAAAAAAAAATATTTTTTTCAAGGCGTGAATTTTTTAAAAAAAATATTTTTTTCAAGGGTCTATATTTTCAGGGTGTATCGAAGGCGTGGATTTTTTTCGAAGGCGTGGATTTTTAAAAAATAAAATATTTTTTTTCAAGGCGTGGATTTCTATATTTTCTGAGTGTATCGAAGGCGTGGATTTTTAAAACAATATTTTATCAAGGGTCTATATTTTCAGGGTGAATAGAAGGCGTGGATTTTTAAAACAATATTTTATCAAGGGTCTATATTTTCTGGGTGTATCGAAGGCGTGGATTTTTAAAACAATATTTTATCAAGGGTCTATATTTTCAGGGTGAATAGAAGGCGTGGATTTAAAAAAAAAAATATTTTTTTCAAGGGTCATTATTTTCTGGGTGTATCGAAGGGGTGGATTTTTTAAAAATATTTTTTTCAAGGGTCTATATTTTCAGGATGTATCGAAGGCGTGGATTTTTAAAAAAATATTTTTTCAAGGGTCTATACTTTCAGGGTGTATCGAAGGCGTGGATTTTTAGAAAATATTTTTTAAAGGGTCTAAATTTTCAGGGTGTATCGAAGGCGTGGATTTTTAAAAAATATTTTTTCAAGGGTCTATATTTTCAGGGTGTATCGAATGCGTGGATTTTTAAAAAATATTTTTTCAAGGGTCTATATTTTCAGGGTGTATCGATTTTTTTAAAAATTTTTAAAAAATTACTTTTTACTGAGGGCCTATTTTTTGAAATTTTTGTTAGAGAAAATTTACACAGATCTGAGTTACTACTGAAGACATTTTTTAGGATTTTTTTTTCGAAAAAACCTACCTTATTAGTTGAAAACAGCATATCTGCATCGACATGAAATTCTGCATCCGGATCCCAAATACAAAAGTCAGCATCATAACCCTCAATAATTTTACCCTTAGAATTTTCCAGGCCACACAAAATAGCGGGATTTTCACACATTGTCTTGTAGAGATGTTGCATGCCCAGTCCATGTTTTTCACAGTGGGTCCACATTACCGACAAACCTTGAAGTAAACATTTTTTTTATAAAAACAAAATCTCTTCAATCTTCATCAAACTCACCCAATTGTAGTGACGAGATACCAGGCCAAGCATTAAGGAAATTTCCACGTGTCCTACCATAGGTAAGACATTTGGGTCCCGGAGTGGCAGGAGAATGATCTGAGGCAATGATATCTATCACGCCAGACTTTACCCCGTCCCATAAGGCCGCCTGATTGGAGCGGGCTCTAATTGGTGGATGGGTTTTAAATTCTGTGCGACAGTCTTCCACATCTTCAGCTGCTAAACTGAGATAATGGGGACAAGTTTCGGCAGTCAACTTGGCACCCTTGGCCTTGCAATCCTTGATAATGGGCAGGACTTCGTTGGCACTTAGATTTAGGAGGTGGAAATGTTTCCTAAGGACAATTAAAAAATATATATTTAATCGATTTTTTACTTTGCCCTGATCTCCTTACTTTTTGTGTTTAACTGCCAATTCCGCAATTGTCCTCACAGCCTTCACTTCCATCTCTGCTGGTCTTGTCCTGAGAAATGACTCATAACATTTGGGTTCCTCTTCATTGGCTTTAATTGGAATGTCAAGAGCTTCTTCGGCATGAACTGCTATTAGAATTCCATCATCGACTTTTTGCAACACGGTCTCCAATTGTTCCTTTGTTATGGGTGGATATTCTTTACCCACAGGTTCGGGTGATTCCACCAGAGTACATTGTAGTCCCATTACACCACCTGCTATAAGGGCAGGCATATCAGACCAATCTTTGGTATTGAGGCCACCCCAAAATCCGACATCAACATATAATTTTCCGCGAGCCGTACACAATTTGGCCTTCAAGGCGGCCATGGAGGTGGTGGGAGGTATGGAGTTGCTAAAAACAGAAAAGAATTCTTAGAAATCTGAAAAATTTTTAAGAATAAATAGTCCAAAGAAAGGTGAGGTTTTTTTTTAAATATTTTTTTCAATGGCCTGAATTTTTTTCAGCAATTTCCATACGTAGGTCGATCAATAATTGTGGTAAAACCACCGGCAGCCGCTGCTTTCGTGGCATTCAAAAAACCTTCCCAATCCTTGCGACCCGGTTCATTGATATGGACATTGACATCGATTAGACCCGGCATTAGCACCATATTTTCAAAATCGTAAACCTAAAAAAAAAATAAAAAAAAAACACCCGATTTTTTATGTTTTTGTTTTGCTCCGCATCTACGTAATGCCGATGCTAATAAATTATTCAAAACACTAATGCCGATCAAGATATATGCACACACACATATATCTGTATACATACTTACTGCCTCGGATTCGATATTATAGAGATATGAATTGACTTCTTGGGCTGAACGTAAAATCTGCTTGATTATTCCCTCACTATTAACGATTATGCCGCCGTGCATAAAACCCTCCTCGGTGCCCAAATAAATTCGCCTACTCAGAAATAATAAGTCCATTTTCGTCGATTTTTTCACTTCACTTTTTGCCGGAATTTAATGCAGTTTTAGTTTTATTTTTGTCCCTTATTGCGAAAATTATGTTTGCATAACGATTCGGTGCTTATGTGGGGGACCAATGTTTAGCGGTTCAGTATTGAAATTGAACTGATCACAGAGATTTTGAAAATCTCTTTTGATTGCTTCGCAAACAGATGATTTCTGCTTTCGGAAAAGCTAAAAAGCTGCAAAACATTTGGAGCTTTTTGGAAAGTTTTTGAAAGCTCTAAAAGGCGAACTTTCAAAAAATACAAAAAAAAAAAATTAAAAAATCCGCGCCTTATTTTTGTCTTTAAAAAAATTACTTACTTACTTAGTTGGCTTGCTACAGAACGGTTATTCCATAAGCCGAGCTTAAAAAATTTCCAAGCGCGTTGGTCTTGTGCGCATCTCCTCCAATTTGTTTTCTACATGGTCTTTCCATCTAATTCGTGGTCTTCCCCTTCTACGGGAACCATAAGTAGGTTCGCTTTTATATGCCTTTTGAGCTGGGGCATTCTCATTCATTCGCACAACATGGCCTAGCCACCGTAGCTCAATACGACTGACTATGTCGATGTCCGCGTATAAATTATAAAGCTCGTGGTTCATTCGACGGCGATATTCACCGTCGACGCAGATCGGCCCGTAGATCTTTCGGATAATTTTTCTTTCAAACACCCCAAGAGCTGCCTCATCTGCTGTCGCAGGTACCCATGCTTCAGATCCATATAACAGCACGGGTAGTATCAGCGTCTTGTAAAGTGTGAGTTTCTTTTTTCTTTCAAACACCCCAAGAGCTGCCTCATCTGCTTGCGCAAGTACGCATGCTTCAGATCGATATAACAGCACGGGTAGTATTAGCGTCTTGTAAAGTGTGAGTTTGGCCTGGCGGGAGGTGGCCTTGTTTCTAAACTGCTTACTTAGACCATAGTATCACCTGTTGGCCATCACAATCCTCCTCCGAATTTCAAAACTGATGTCATACGTTTTATTATGGCGGTACCATGGTATATAAAATCCTTAACTACCTCCATGCTGTAGTTCTCAAGTTCCTCAGTTGGTCTGAGTCTACTGGACGTCCTGCGCGTAGATAAAATCAGCTTGGTCTTTTCGCCATTTACTGCCAGACCCATTTTGGCAAACTCCTTCTCAATTTGTTCAAAGGTGGCTGTTACCGCACGCAATGTTCGACCCATTATATCGATGTCATCGGCGTAGGCGAGTAACATGTATTGTTTGGTGTACAGAGTGCCATTTCTGTTCACCTTTGCGTCTCGTATGACCTTTTCCAGCCGGATGTTAAAAAGATCACACGACAAACTGTCACCTTGTCTGAATCCTCGTTCGGTATTGAAGGGCTCCGAGTGTTTCTTTCCGACTTTAACTGCTGATCTTGTGCCAGTTATAGTTATCCTACATAGCCGTATTAATTTTGCAGGAATGCCGAACGTAGACATGACTTCTGAACACCTCTGAACGAATAGGGCTGTCGAATGCGGCTTTATAGTCGACGAATAAGTGGTATGTGTCGATGTGTTTTTCGTGGGTCTTTTACAGGATTTGGAGCAGAGTGAAAATCTGGTCAATGGTGGATTTGCCAGGTCTGAAGCCGTATTGGTATGGTCCAATAATGTCATTGACTATTGGCTTCAATCGTTCACACACCACACTGGATAGCACTTTATATGCGATGGAAAAAAAGGCTAATTCCTCTATGGCTTTCACATATCACCTTGTATCCGATTTTTTGCACGGGACATAGGATGCTAGCCAAATTTTACGAATCAGCTGGTGCATGCTCCTGACCAACATCTGATCACCAGTCTTGAATAGTTCGGCTGGTAACCCCATCGGTTCCTTCTGCTTTGTTGTTCTTGAGTCGATTAATTGCTTTTATGACCTCATCTTGGCTAGGTGATATACACTCTGTACCGTCATCTCTTATTGGTTTTGGGGTATCTTCTTCACCGCCGCTATTTGATACCATTGCAAAATGCTCCTTCCAGATCCTGAACACATTGTCTGTGTCTGTCACCAGGTTTCCTCCTTCATCTCTACAGCAGGAGGATGTGCCTGCACCAAAACCTTCGGTTTGGTGTTTTACCCGTTGGTAGAATTTTCGGACTTCATTCTGACTCTTGTACATCTCGATTTGCTCACGCTCAGGATTTTTTGTTCTTTTTTCTGAAAACACGTTTATCCTTTTCTCCCGATAGTTTTCCAACACATTACGTGTTGCTACTGTCCGCTGAGTTGCCCTATACGCTTCGTTTTTCATATCAGTAGCATTACGACACTCCTGATCGTACCACGGTTTTCTTATGGTGGTCTTTGGTATCCAAGTGTTGCTTTTGCTGCTGTTTGTAGGGATTGGGCAATTATTTGCCATTGTGCTTCTATATTATTATCGGGACAAGAAGGTGGGTATTATCATCAAGCTAGTGGGTAAGTTGAGTGGAGTAGGCCTCGGATACCTATTGTATTTGCAGCTTTTCGACGTCTAGTTTCCGTGTTGTGTTAGATCACACCTTTGCTGCAACATTAAAACGAGTGTGAACCTTGGCTGCTACAAGGTTGTGGTCCGAATCGATATTCACTCATCGAATCGATCGAACACTGGATGAATGCCTTCCGTCTATCACAACATGATCGATTTGATTTCTCGTTGTTCGATCGGGAGAAATCGAGATGCTTGAATCTGGTGCTGCTAACTACCATAATTTTTGCTGCCTCAAAGTCAATCAACCTCATGCCGTTGTCGGATGTTTCTTCATGGTGGCTAAATTTTCCGACGGTGGGACCAAAGATATTTTCCCTTCCGATTTGGCCAGGACAGCGGTCATATGCTGTTTCTAGGCGCACATAAAATATGTCTTTGGTCTGCTCATCTTTGTCTTCTATCGGAGCATGGGCGTAAATAAGACTGATGTAGAAGAACTTCGGTTTTATACGGATTATAGCAATTCGCTCATCTACTGGAGTGAATCTGGAGACGAAGTATTTTTATTCTCCTGTTAACTATAAATCCGCAGCCAAATTCATGTCTCGTTTCATCGTAGCTATAATACAGGGCGTAATCTTCTGATTTACTTACGCCAGTCCCTTTCCATCGCCTTTCCTGTAAGACAATAATATCGGCTTTGTACTTCTTGAGTACAGCCGCCAAAGCGAACATTCCATTCGCAGATCGTGGTCCTTTATACGTTTACGGGAGTCGTCAACATTGAGGGGGTTTGGTTTTCTTTTTATTTGCTTTTTCATAGTAAGAGGGGTTTTCTGAGTGTGGGCAACTAATCCGACGCCTCAACACATTTTTTAGAGTTCTTATGGGTGAACTCACGGCGCATATTAGCTCACTTTTTTTAACGGGTGATGAAAATAGCTACCCCAGGAGACATGGCGGGGGGGTCAGCGTCTACAATTGGTTAGATCCTTGAAAAAATATTCTTTAAAAATCCACGCCTTGGTTAGATCCTTGAAAAAATATTCTTTAAAAATCCACGCCTTGGTTAGATCCTTGAAAAAATATTCTTTAAAAATCCACGCCTTGGTTAGATCCTTGAAAAAATATTCTTTAAAAATCCACGCCTTGGTTAGATCCTTGAAAAAATATTCTTTAAAAATCCACGCCTTGGTTAGATCCTTGAAAAAATATTCTTTAAAAATCCACGCCTTGGTTAGATCCTTGAATAATATTCTTTAAAAATCCACGCCTTGGTTAGATCCTTGAAAAAATATTCTTTAAAAATCCACGCCTTGGTTAGATCCTTGAAAAAATATTCTTTAAAAATCCACGCCTTGGTTAGATCCTTGAAAAAATATTCTTTAAAAATCCACGCCTTGGTTAGATCCTTGAAAAAATATTCTTTAAAAATCCACGCCTTGGTTAGATCCTTGAAAAAATATTCTGTAAAAATCCACGCCTTGGTTAGATCCTTGAAAAAATATTCTTTAAAAATCCACGCCTTGGTTAGATCCTTGAAAAAATATTCTTTAAAAATCCACGCCTTGGTTAGATCCTTGAAAAAATATTCTTTAAAAATCCACGCCTTGGTTAGATCCTTGAAAAAATATTCTTTAAAAATCCACGCCTTGGTTAGATCCTTGAAAAAATATTCTTTAAAAATCCACGCCTTGGTTAGATCCTTGAAAAAATATTCTTTAAAAATCCACGCATTGGTTAGATCCTTGAAAAAATATTCTTTAAAAATCCACGCCTTGGTTAGATCCTTGAAAAAATATTCTTTAAAAATCCACGCCTTGGTTAGATCCTTGAAAAAATATTCTTTAAAAATCCACGCCTTGGTTAGATCCTTGAAAAAATATTCTTTAAAAAATCCACGCCTTGTTTAGATCCTTGAAAAAATATTCTTTAAAAAATCCACGCCTTGTTAAGATCCTTGAAAAAATCCACGCCTTGGTTAGATCCTTGAAAAAATATTCTTTAAAAAATCCACGCCCTGGTTAGTTCCTTGAAAAAATATTCTTTAAAAAATCCACGCCCTGGTTAGTTCCTTGAAAAAATATTCTTTAAAAAATCCACGCCCTGGTTAGTTCCTTGAAAAAATATTCTTTAAAAAATCCACGCCCTGGTTAGTTCCTTGAAAAAAATATTCTTTAAAAAATCCACGCCTTGTTTAGATCGTTGACAAAATATTCTTTAAAGAATCCACGCCTTGTTTATATCGTTGAAAAAATATTCTTTAAAAAATCCACGCCTTGGATGATGATCCTTGAAAAAATCTTCTTTAAAAAATCCACGCCTTGGATGATGATCCTTGAAAAAATATTCTTTAAAGAATCCACGCCTTAGATGATGGTCCTTGAAAAAATATTCTTTAAAAAATCCACGCCTTGGTTAGATCCTTGAAAAAATATTCTTTAAAGAATCCACGCCTTGTTTAGATTTTTGAAAAAATATTTTTTAAAAAATCCACGCCCTGTTTAGATCTTTGAAAAAATATTCTTTAAAAAATCCACGCCTCGTTTAGATCCTTAGAAAATATTCTTTAAAAAATCCACGCCTTGGATGATGATCCTTTAAAAAATTCATGCCTAGTACGGCATTTACATTAGAACTTTTTACCGGGTTAACCTACTTTATTAGGATTTATTTGGCATATATTCAAAGGAATTGAAAATTTAAACCCACTGGGTTAACCAAATCCGGTTAAATGTAAACGACCTTTAGGTTTGTAAGTCCTTGAAAATATTTTTAAAAATTTACCCATGTGTAACTTCTTCAAAAAATCTTTTAACTAGTAATAGATTTTTATTTCAAAAAAAAAAAAAAAAAAATTATTTTTATTTGAATATTAAAAAAATAATATTTTTCTTGCTTCCAAATCCCATTACATGTTTACTTAGAAGAAACAAATCCTCCATCGATCTCCAGGGTAACCAAAATTGATGTTCGGTTGCCGCGTCGACGACGTTCAACAAATGAATCCAAACAACAAAATTCCATGGAGCAAAACAAAAACTTTTGTTAAGGGTGGGGGCCACCGGAATTGCTAAATACCAGAAGTTAGACATCCAAGGAGCCAACCAGTCCAAGGGTGGAGAACATTTCGCAGTTAAAGTTTCCTTCACGTCATCAGTAAAAGTTAACAAAGAAATTAAAAAAAAAAACAAAGAACTGTGATTAAAGCAAATTTAAAAGAAAGGCAAGAAGAGAAAACATTTTGCAACAATTTCCATCGTTGCATGAAATCGAAACCGAGAACAACAACAAATCCTGCTGGTGGCTATGACGCAAGAATCCATAAGAAGGTCAAATGCCAGTTATTCCAACATGTATGGAAGGTAGGTAGCCCGAACGAACGACCAACCGATACGAACACAAAACGCAATGAATGATTTTTTCATTTGTCTTTGCCACCTCTCACAGAGTCAACCAGAACATGACCCATGAACGCATGAAAGTCTATTTCTGCACGGATCTGGACAAATCGGTGTTGGTGAATAATTTCGAAAAGCGCGGCTGGAGTCAAGTCAGTGCCGATGATGATTGGAATTTCTATTGGGCTGGGGTGCAAACTTGTCGCAATATTTTCAGTGTGGATAGTGGCTATCGCATGAATGACAATCAAATGATCAATCACTTTCCCAATCACTATGAACTGTCACGCAAGGACCTCCTCGTGAAGAATATCAAACGATATCGCAAAGATTTGGAAAGGGATGGTAACCCATTGGCAGAAAAAACAGATGTCAATTGGTCAGGAGCCGCAGGTGGTGGTAGTACACGTTATCTGCATTTGGATTTTATACCCGTGACCTTTGTCCTACCGGCGGATTATAACATGTTTGTCGAAGAGTATCGTAAAAATCCCCAAAGTACTTGGATCATGAAGCCGTGCGGAAAATCACAAGGTGCTGGAATATTCTTGATTAATAAATTATCGAAATTAAAAAAGTGGTCCCGAGAGGCCAAGGGTGCATTTCATCCTCAAATTGCCAAGGAGTCATATGTCATCTCAAGATATATTGATAATCCGCTGTTGATTGGTGGCAAGAAATTCGATTTGAGGCTTTATGTCTTGGTCACATCATTTCGTCCGCTGAAAGCGTATCTTTTCAAGCAGGGTTTTTGCCGATTTTGCACCGTGAAATATGATACCAGTATGACGGAGCTGGATAATATGTATGTCCACCTGACCAATGTCAGTGTGCAGAAACATGGGGTGAGTTCAACAAAATTTTAAAAGATGTCAGATTCAACTACCATAGGCGTGGATTTTTTAAAAAAAAATTTTCAACGACCAAAACGGAGTTTGGATTGTTTAAAGAATATTTTTCAAGGATCCTAACAAGGCGTGGATTTTTTAAAGAATATTTTTTCAACGATCTAAACAAGGCGTGGATTTTTTAAAAAATATTTTTTCAAGGATCTAAACAAGGCGTGGATTTTTTAAAGAATATTTTTTCAAGGATCTAAACATGGCGTGGATTTTTTAAAGAATATTTTTTCAAGGATCTAAACAAGGCGTGGATTTTTTAAAGAATATTTTTTCAACGATCTAAACAAGGCGTGGATTTTTTAAAGAATATTTTTTCAAGGATCTAAACAAGGCGTGGATTTTTTAAAGAAAAATTTTCAAGCATCTAAACAAGGCGTGGATTTTTTAAAGAATATTTTTTCAAGGATCTAAACAAGGCGTGGATTTTTTAAAGAATATTTTTTCAAGGATCTAAACAAGGCGTGGATTTTTTAAAGAATATTTTTTCAAGGATCTAAACAAGGCGTGGATTTTTTAAAGAATATTTTTTCAAGGATCTAAACAAGGCGTGGATTTTTTAAAGAATATTTTTTCAAGGATCTAAACAAGGCGTGGATTTTTTAAAGAATATTTTTTCAAGGATCTAAACAAGGCGTGGATTTTTTAAAGAATATTTTTTCAAGGATCTAAGCAAGGCGTGGATTTTTTAAGGATCATCATCCAAGGCGTGGATTTTTTAAAGAATATTTTTTCAAGGATCATCATCCAAGGCGTGGATTTTTTAAAGAATATTTTTTCAAGGATCATCATCCAAGGCGTGGATTTTTTAAAGAATATTTTTTCAAGGATCTAAACAAGGCGTGGATTTTTTAAAGAATATTTTTTCAAGGATCTAAACAAGGCGTGGATTTTTTAAAGAATATTTTTTCAAGGATCTAAACAAGGCGTGGATTTTTTAAAGAATATTTTTTCAAGGATCTAAACAAGGCGTGGATTTTTTAAAGAATATTTTTTCAAGGATCTAAACAAGGCGTGGATTTTTTAAAGAATATTTTTTCAAGGATCTAAGCAAGGCGTGGATTTTTTAAAGAATATTTTTTCAAGGATCTAAGCAAGGCGTGGATTTTTTAAAGAATATTTTTTCAAGGATCTAAACAAGGCGTGGATTTTTTAAAGAATATTTTTTCAAGGATCTAAACAAGGCGTGGATTTTTTAAAGAATATTTTTTTAAGGACCTAACCTAAACTCCTTTTTTTCTCCCACAGGGTGAATACAATTCCTTGCATGGCGGCAAATGGTCTGTACAAAATCTAGCCCTCTATTTGGAGGGGACACGCGGCAAAGAGGTAACTGATCGTTTGTTTGGTGCTATCTCCTGGCTAATTGTCCATTCACTGCGTGCCGTGGCACCCGTTATGGCCAGTGATCGGCATTGTTTTGAATGTTATGGTTATGATATTATAATTGATAACAATCTGAAACCATGGCTAGTGGAGGTGAATGCATCACCCTCACTGACTTCAACCACAGTTACGGATCGTATTCTGAAATATAAATTAATTGATAATATATTGTCGGTTGTGTTGCCACCAGATGGGGTGCCAGAGTAAGTGGGCCGTTCATACAATTTTATTTTAATTGTACTGTTTTTAACAAATTTTGTTCTACTTCTTAGTGTCCGCTGGAATAAAATTCCCAGTGCTGATGCCTTGGGTAATTTTGAATTGCTCATCGATGAGGAGCTGGCCGCCCAGGAAGAGGCTCATAATAGTCAGCAGAACAAAAATTCCAAGTCGATGGGTGGAAATCGTTGGAAGTGATGCCGGTAATCAAGATGGAATTAAAAAGTACCCATTCAATTCTTGGTAAATTTGCTAGTGAATGGTGAAAAATTTATTTTCGTTATTTTCAAATAGCTGTGATTATGTTAGTATTTAATTTATATATTTTTTTAAAGAAGTGCAATATTTTTAGTGGAAATAAAAAAATTTAAAAATTATTTTTAATGACCTATAATAGGCCTGGATTTTTTAAAAATATTTGAAAAAATAGGCAAGATTTTTTTTTTAAAATATTTAAAGAACTAAAAATATTTGAAAAAATAGGCGTGGATTTTTTAAAAATATTTGAAAAAATAGGCGTGGATTTTTTAAAAATATTTGAAAAAATTGGGCGTGGATTTTTTAAAAATATTTGAAAAAAATAGGCGTGGATTTTTTAAAAATATTTGAAAAAATAGGCGTGGATTTTTTAAAAATATTTGAAAAAATTGGGCGTGGATTTTTTAAAAATATTTGAAAAAATATGCGTGGATTTTTTAGAAATATTTGAAAAAAATTGGCGTTGTTTTTTTTAAATAAAAAAAGAGGCTTGGATTTATAAAAAAAGAGGCTTGGATTTTTAAAAATAGGCGTGTATTTTTTAAAAATATTTTTTGCAATGGCCTATAATAGGCGTGGATTTTTTAAAAATATTTTTTTTCAATGGCCTATAATAGGCGTGGATTTTTTAAAAATATTTTTTTTTCAATGGCCTATAATAGGCGTGGATTTTTTAAAAATATTTTTTTTCAATGGCCTATAATAGGCGTGGATTTTTTAAAAATATTTTTTTTTTTCAATGGCCTATAATAGGCGTGGATTTTTTAAAAATATTTTTTTTTTTCAATGGCCTATAATAGGCGTGGATTTTTTAAAAATATTTTTTTTTTCAATGGCCTATAATAGGCGTGGATTTTTTAAAAATATTTTTTTTTTTCAATGGCCTATAATAGGCGTGGATTTGTTTTGTAATGACCTATAGTTTATAGGAATGGATTTTTTAAATAATATTTTTCAATGGTCTATAATAGGGGTGGATTTTTTAAAAAATATTTTTTCAATAATCATAAGACGCGTGATTTTTTTAAATAATATTTTTCTATGGTCTATAATAGGGGTGGATGTTTTAAAAATATTTTGTCAATAATCATAATACGCGTGATTTTTTTTTAAATATTGTTCTATGGATTTTTTTATTTATTAATTAAAAATATATTTCAATGTTATCATTTTTTATAGTGTCTTATGTATTGATACACACACAAAAACTATTTTTTTTCTCCAACCACCAGTGCAACTTTCATGCAAATGCCTCAATTAATTACCGAGTTATAGCCATTTGAAGTTGACCTTGTGTCAAAATGTAGCTGCTACACGATTCTGTTTGCCTATTACCGCAGATGGAAAAATTGAAGAAATTGCATTTAACAAAAAATCAAAAATAAATGCAGGCAACTGTATTGCCAGATTGTCTGCTTTGTGTATTTTATGTTCGTTTACGAATTCTGAGCATACTTTAAGGCGTCACTTTAAAAACACGATGTATTAATATTTTAAAGGAATATCTATTAGAATGGTGCGCCTAAATGTATGCAAATATTTTATCAAATTAAGGACAAAACAAAAAGCAGACAATCTGGCAATAGCAGCCTGCATTAAATTTCCCATTTTTTATCAGATGCAATTTCTTCGATTTTTTTATTTTCGGTAATAGGAAAACAGAATCGTGTAGCTGCTATATTTTGTCAGAAGGTTAACTTTGAATGGCTATAACTCGGTAAGTACTTGAGGAATTTGCATGAAATTTTTACTAGTGGTTAGGGGAGATTTTGTAGAACATTATTGTTGTATTGGCTTTTTTAAAAATATTGTTCAATGAATTTTTTCAGTGTTTTTTCGATGGCCTATAAAAAAATTGCCTATATATATTTTTTAAAAAGTATTTTTCTAGTTCATTGAAAAATAGGCTTGAATTTTTAAATGAATATTTTTCAATGACCGTGTATTTGTTCCAATAATCTATAATGGGCGCGGATTTTTAAAAATATTTTTCATCCATATTTTTAATGACCTAAAATAGGGTTCTCACAAAAAATTATAAATATTGGAAAATTTGGATACATTTTTCAGGCAAATTGGCTATAATTTTATATTTTGGACTCACTATGGATAGAAAATATCAGTATTAAGAGGTACCAGAAGAGGTTGCTTTATAGATACATATGTTTCAATGTTTGTGTGTGACCGAATATGAGCTATGTTTGGTAAAACAATTTCGAAAATTTGAATAAAATCGGACATTCCATTCGTCGGATATTGAATTAACAAATTTTCCAAACTTGTAGGGGAGGTATTAGAAGTCGTGGACCGATTGGTCCCATCTTCGGACTTGATCTAACTAAGGAAAAAATATTATGATATGCAAAGTTTGGATCAAATCTGACATTGTATTCACATGGTATTGAATTAACAAAATTTCAAAAATTTGACACTTTGTGGGGGAGGTACCAGAAGGAGTGTATCGACGGGTCCCATCTTCAGACACCATGAAATTTTGGTAAAAGTATTACCAAAAGTCTGAACCAAAGCGTGCATTCCATTCGCTTGATAGTGAAAAAAATTCAAAATATTTACACTTTATGTTGGAGGAACCACAAGGAGTGGACCGGGCCGATGGATCTCATCTTCGGGCTTGATCTTAGATTGGTAAAATTTGGTAAAAAACAATGTGAAAAGTTTAAATTAAATCGGATATTCCACTCACTTAATATTTGGTTTATAAAATTTTTAAAATGTTGACCCTTTAAAGGGGAGGTACTAGAAGGAATGTGCCGTTAAGTCCCACCTTCCAACAATATACAAGCATGGCTAAAATAGCAGGTTGTACAACGTTTATTTCAAATCGGATAGTCCGTTCGCATGATATTACAGAATTCATTTTCAGAAATTCTGAGACCATTTTGTGTACAAGTTACAAGAAGGAGTGGATCGATATTTCCCATCTTGGAAGAAATATTACGATGTACCATGTTTGTGTGAAATTGGTTACTCCCTTCGAGAGTTATAGGGCGCACCAGCCAGACAGACAAACAGACGAAAGAACGGACATTTGTAAATCGATTCCAAATCGGGAATGGATTTGGTCCAAAGAATATTTTCATAAGGCACATTTTTGACGTATCAAAGTGTATATACCCACATTTCCCAAAAGCTGAGGGTATACAAATATCGGTCGAACTTTGGATATGGTATCCATATATAGATCCAACCTCTTTATGGGTGATGGTCCTAAGTGCAATATACAATTCCACTTCTTTACAGAACATTTTCAATGTAAGTCCATGTTTTTACACAACCTCCATACAAAGGCCACGCTTCATATTCGATATCTTTAGAGTCCTAGCCCAATATTTCTACCCCAGTGTTTGTAGTATGGTATTTTGTTTTTGTCTGGCAGCAGTTTATCATGGCATAGACGCTATATGAGTCATTGATATTGAACGTGGTTTAAGTCCATTTTAGATTCTGATACAAATCTGATACAAAATTTTATAAAACCAAATTAATATCACTCAACAGTATTTTTGAAACAAATCAAACCCAAACCTTTAAATATGCCAATAAAAGAAAATGGACTTAAATCACTTTCAAAATAAACGACTCATATAATAGTTCCGAGCGATAGGCCTTAAAATTATTATTGTTATTATTATTTTTTTTTTAATAAAACAAATATATTTTATTTTTTTGTAATATATTTTTTTGTTTAATTCGTTCTTAAAATAAAATTCATGAAAAAATTAATTAATTAATTATTAATATTCGTTTTGTAATTATATTTAAACACAAAATCGTCACTTAGTCACTAAGTTATTTACGATAATACGGGACAATGAAAATTAAACCTATAATTATAAATTAATACTAGACGACAATTATAAATTATACAAATTTCAAGATGATGACAATGATTATTGTAAAAAATATTAAATATGACAAAAAACATGAAATATTTTGTTAAAGTTACAATAGAGAAAGGACAACAGAAGACATGAAAAATGTTAGTGGAAATTATTTACAAACAGATAAAAAAAAATAAAAAACAAAAAATTATAATAGAAAAAAATAAACAGAAAAGAAAACAAAACAAAAAAGAACACATAAAATTTTAAACAGACACAAATTCATTGTTGTAGTTTGTTATTATAAATTTAATATAAATTTTTATATATAATATAGTTATTAATAATAGTAATGATTAAAGTAATAGCAGTAAATATTGCTGCTTTAATTTCATTTTTTTCGATTTTCGTTTCTTCTTCTTTTTTATTTATTGTTAAAGTTTGAAATTACAAAATATGTGTGTGGAAATTTACAAACCTAACTTAAATCGTAGAGAAAACTCTTTTTCATTAAAGCAAGAACCTAATTATTCGTACTTTCTTTATGAAAACTTTGTTTATTTCATTTAATTTAATTGAAACAATTTGGAAGTTTTTATATTTTTATTTCGTCCACATATTGGTTTAAATTTCTTCTCAAATTCTTTTGTTATTATTAATAATTAACTTATATTAATATTCGTAGAAATTTGTAAAATTAATAATTACTTAATATTAATAATATATATACGATGTTTCTATATATATTTTAAGTTATATATATATATATGTTACTTATGGAATATAACAAATTTGGAATGTAGCAATTGCATTCGGTTTTTTAATAGTGTTTTGTTTTTCATTTTTTTCGTTATTTACTATATTTTTGTATTTCTTGTTGTTGGTTTTTGTTTTTCTATACAAACTGTTTTGCTGTTTTTGTAATTTTCGTTTTTTTCAGTAATTTTTAATCACAGTTTTTTTCAGTTTCATATATAATTTTTTGTAGATCATAGTTTTTATGCCAAATAAACTAATAATTCTTTTAAGTGTTGATTTCAAAAAATACTATTTCTTAAATTATAAAATCCATTAAAAAAGGATTCGAAAAAAATAATTCATAATTTTTTTCAATAGATTTCATAATTTCATTGTGTGTGAAAAATAAATTATTTATTGTATTTATTAATTTTGTAAAGTTATCAGGTATGAGATGAAAATAAATATAATTTGATTTGTCTTAAAGCAATAGGCCATATATTTCCATGTAAATTAGGTTAAATAAAAATATTTAGTTTTCTCCAGTAAAATTTATAAAGCAAATTTGAATATACGGTATTGTTTAATGACAAATCAAATCATGTTGATATTCATCATACAGATTTTTGGAATTTATAATTTCTTTTTATTATTTTTGTTATATGACATTTTCAATTTTTAATACTTTCCAGCAAAAATAGCAAATTCTATTCTTTTTAATTATTAATTTATTAAGAAAATATATTTTGAAAAATAATAATAATAATTACAATAATGAAGGGAACCTTTTTTCGATAACTATACATACTTCTATAAAAAAAAGTTGTGCAGAAAAATACCAATAAAATATTTGTAATGCACAAAAGTTGTCGATAAACCAATTTTCTATACGGATTTTTTTTCGATAAGTAATATTTTTCTACAAGATATTTGTTATTGGAAACTTTTTTTTTTGCCGTTGTCAATAACAGCCTTCCTGAAAAAAGCATTTTTTGTAAGAGATATTTCACCATAGAAAATCATTCTTTTATGTAAAGAAAATTTATCGATAGCAACTTTTTAATATAGGAAAGACATTGATAAAAGTATCAAAAACAACTTTTAAATAAAGAAATGTTACCGATAACAAATTTTATATAAAGGAAAATTATCGATAATAAATTTTACTCTGTAAAGAAAATTTGTAGAAAACAACCTTCATATTAATAAAATTTATCGGTACCATTTTTTTTTAAATGAAGATATCGATAACATATTTTTATGAGGAGAATTTTTTGGTGACATATTTTCTGTTATCGATAACATAGTTTATATCACGACAAGTTATTGATAACATAATTTCAATAAACAAAAGCTATTGATAACATTGAAAATATGTTATCGATAGCTTTCATTGTTACCAATAACTTGTCCTTATACAAAATATGTTATCGATAACAACATATGTTACTTATTTATAGAAAACACGTTATCAGTAACTTTTATTTGAAGAAAAGTTGTTATCGATAACTGTTATATACAATAATTATTGATAAAAATTCTCTATATAAGAAAAACAACTCTGCTATAATGACATTTTTCAATAACATGTTTTACAGATTTTTTTCAATAAAATTTTTTACAGTCTCTACATAGAAACGTTATCGATAACTTGTTTTATATAGGCAAAAGTTATCGACAGCAAAATGCCTTTTCTATAAAAACCACAATTTCTTTAAAAAAATTATCGATAACCAAATTTACTATAGATAAAAGTTGCCGATTCAACTATTTTATCGATAACATAAATTTTAAACTTAGGGTTGACGACTAGTTTCTATAAAAGAATTACGAAAAAAAAATTATTTAGAAAAGTTATCGATAAAAAGTATTTCATAGTTAAATAATTACTTCCAATTATTAAAGAAAACATTTTTTTAAAATTCAATTTCTTTAAATCTGATTTCTTTTCAAAACACATTTTCTTAATAAATTAATAACAGTCTTTTTTGTTTGTATTTTTTTTTTCATTTCAATAGATTTCAATGTATAAAATGGTTCGTTAAGTTTGTCGGGGTTTGTTTTATTTTTTTGCTTTTGTAATTATTTATATAAGTAAATAATTTTCAGATTTCGTTTTATTTAACAATATATAAAGTAAATATGTTTTTGTTTTTTTACTTTTTTGAAAATTTAAGATTTTCAAAAAAATTTGCACTTGTGTTTTTTTGTTTTGTATACAATATAGGCTATAAATATATATATATATATATATATATATATATTTTTGTTAAAGTTTAATTGTGTGTGTAGGTGAAGAGAGTGAGGAGATCTTACTTTTAAATTTTATTTTAGTCAAGAAAAATTACAACAAAAATTTTATTACAACAATAATTCTAAAAAAATAATAATACATATGATTTTAGGTTTTGATAATTATTTTAAGGTTTTGGGTGGTTTACGGAGTCTGATTGGTATCAGAATCGGAATGTGTGGAATTTTGCAGTTCGTTGAAATCCATTTGATTCGGACACCAATCAAATTCTATAGCTCTCAAATAGTGTATTATTTGAAAAATTAGTAGGCATTTTTAAATATTCTTACCACTTAGAGAGTTCCAACACTCTCTCGATCTCACCACACCACACTGTTTTTTAACCAAATCAAATTTTTAGTATTTTATTTATAATATTTTCAATCCCTTTGGGTTCGTTTACAAATATGTGTATGTGTATGTGTGTGTGTTTTGTATATTCTTTCATAGTTTGTTCAACATTCAGTGGCAAAGTAGAAAATTTCCACAATATCCTCGTCATCATCGTCGTTGTCGTCTTCAGTTTCGCCGTGACCGTGGTTATCTGTTATTCTAGGGTATTTCGAGTCCACTGGGCCACCATTTTCTTCTGCCGCTGCCCCAGCTACTGATGATGATGATGACGACCGCGGAGGAGGATTGCTATTAGTAGTTGTACAAGGTATCCTAACTTTTGTTTTGGTTGAGGTTGTAATTTTCGTTTTGCTGCTAATACCACGAACAACAACGTCTTCGCCCAGACACTGGCGAAGAACGTTTGCCTATAGTCACACTTTTGATGCGGTGGCCGTCGTGTGTTGTGGACCGGCAATAGCTCCCGAATATTGGGATTGCGCTTGCTGATGTTGTTGCTGTTGCATATTATGATGATGGTGTTGTTTTTGCACAGTTTGATATGTAGGCTGCTGTTGCTGCCCGGCAGCAATATTATTATTATTCGAGGGTCCCAATGTTACATGCGTAACGAAAGGCCCCCGGGACCTTGCACTACTATTAAGGCTGGCCGGTGAAAATCCATTCATGGCTGCTGATTTCCAATGAGCTTGAGCCTGGGCTGCTGCCGCTGCCGCCGCTGCTGATGAGGGCGATTGCTGACCGGCATTTACCGTTATGTGACCATTGCTGCTGTGTTGTTTAATACTGCCTGTACGATGTTGAAAACTACCATTTAGAGAGGGATTATTTGGGCCCGTTTGATTTAGGTTATGTTGTTGTTGTGCTGTTTCATAGTCATAATAGTTTGGCGGTGCGGGATTTGTTGTGGAGCGTATACTGCTATTCTTACTATTGCTACTGGTATTTAAGTTGTTGTTGTTACTATGCGAATAGTTTTGCATATTGATGTCCTGTGAGCGGGCACTGCGTTGCGAATGATAATGTTGATGACGTCGACTATTATATATATGTACAAATATTTTTCACCAAGAAGCGCACCATTTCACCAGCATTTAAATCATGTTTATATAGATGTTTACATATTTATATAATACATACGCCGCATATATAGAAGAAGCACGTGATACGATTTATATATGAAAATAAAAAGAAATAAATATTTATTTAATAATTAATGATGAATATATATTTTTAATGGTTTTATGTGGAAATATGAAAAAATAAAAATATTAAGAAAGCACTACATAGCGGTATTGTTAATGTGTCGTTTTGAATGTATACAATTTTAATAACGATTTTTGGGCGTTCTACAATAAGGAAAATGTCGTAGGTTCCATTAGATTCCCGATTGAAAGAAATTTATCGATAACATATCGATAAGAATTTTTTCTTAAATAAAAAAAGTTTCGATAACAAATTTTGTAAAAACGATAACAACATGCATATATTGGAATAACGTTTCCATAAGGGAATGTTGACGAGGTCTTTATGTACAAAACATTTACGATAACAATTTTTCTATCCAGCGATAATATATTCATTTCCTTCTATATAGAATTTTTGTTGATAAAAACAACTTAAGAAAAATATAAGCGATAACCAAACTGCAAAAGGAAAATAATCGATAATCAAAGATTTCAAAAAGAATATGTTACCGATAACAACAATAAATTGAAGAAAATATGTTGATTACTATTACTTTATAAAGTGGTTATCGGTAAAATTTCTCTACAGAAAAATTTGTAATCGACATATTTACTGTACAAAAATCTTGTTATCGATAACTCTTTCTCCATAGAAAGCTTGTTATCGTAATTTTTTTAAAAAGAATAGTTGGCATCTGTAAAATTTCTCTACAGAAAAGTCGTTATCGATAAATGTTCTTCACAGGAAAATCATTATCGATAACCTTTCTCTTCAGAAACGTCATTACCGATAACTTTTCGCTTTAGAAAAGTTGTTACCGATAACTTTTCTCGAAAAAATTACACTTAAAAAATTTCATTACATAACAATTTGTAATCGACATTTTTTGTCGTTATTGACAACTTTTTCTCCATAGAAAGCTTGTTATCGTTATTTTTTTAAAGCATAGTTGCTGTCTGTAAAATTTCTCTACAGAAAAGTCGTTATCGATAAATTTTCTTTACAGAAAAGTCATTACCGATCACTTTTCCCTTCAGAAACGTCATTATCGACAACTTTTCTCAAGAGAAAACTCGTTATCGATAACTTTTTCTCTACAGAAAAATCACTATCGATAACATTTCTCTTCAGAAAAGTAATTATCGATAACTTCTCTCTAAAAAAAGGTTGTTATCGATATATTTTGTCTACAGAAAAGTCATTATCGATAAATTTCCTCTACAGAAAAGTCATTGTCGATATATATTATCTACAGAAATGTCATTATCGATTATTTTCTCGGCAAAAAATTCGTTACCGATAGCTTTTCTCTTGTTATACAGAAAAGTTATTATCGATAACTTTTGTCTACCGAAATGTCATTATCGAATAATTTTCTGAACAGGAAATTTATTATCGATAACTATTCTATACACAAAAATAATTTATCGATAACTATTCTCCACAGAAAATCCATTATCAATAACTTTTTTCTCTATATAGAAGATTTGTTATCATTAACTTTTCTCAATAAAAAAGTAAATTTTTAATAGACATCTTATTTCAATAGATATGTTGTTATCGATAACTTTTATCTATTGTAAACTTTGTTATCGATAACATATAATTATTGTATGGAAAAGTTATTTATTTTTTAAATTTTCAATATGGAAAAGTTGTTATCGAAAAATGTGTTTATAAAAACCACATTTTATATGTTTTTTATCGAACTTTATCATTATTTTCATTTATAAAAAATAATGTAAAATACATTTCAGAATCTACAAAATTAAAAAGGTAGTTAAAATTAAAAAGCAATAAAAAATTAAAAAACGTATATTTTAAAAGATCAACCTAGAATGCGTACAGTTCAAGAAAATTGCGAATTAAAAATTTGTTTTGAAATCATCTTGAATTACAATTTGTATTATCTAAAATATTGCTAATTTAAAATTGTATTTTCCTATTCCTCAGAGCAGAAAATCCTGTGATTTCTTTGTTTTCGAAACTGAATGCGTCCGTGAAAAAAAGACGTTACGGTAAAGTTGAGGGGATTAATGCTACGTTATCTTGGCTTTATTTAGGTTGTAATCCCTGAGTATTATATGAAGTCGAAAATTTGAAACACAATGAAAATAGGATCTGAAAATTTAAATTTTAAAAGGGGTTGGTTTTCTAATTTGTACTTTAATTATTGAGTCAGCTATAACTTGTAAGATTGTAACTCGAAAATCATACGAAAAATTCGCCATGAAATGGTATGGGTGATGCACAATTCTTGAAAACGTGGAATTGACTGATTGAATTGTTTGCTAAAGACGCCTAAATGTATCGTTATTCCTGACATTAATTAAATGCAAATTTGTCAAGTTTTAATATTAAAATCGTAACGTTTCATATGGACAGGCCATCCTACAAATGCTTGAAACATTGAAACTTAATACTAGATAAACATTGGTCCCAATCTAGATTATTATACGATTCAATACTGAGCTATTGAGAGCTTTATATGAATCAATATGTATATCAATTCGATAACTAACAATCGTAAGAGATGAGGATATAAAATCACAGCTAGAACGACAATTTAAAAAAATATACTATCAAAATAAACAAATTCTATAAAATAAAAAAAAATAAATTTGAAAGAAAAAACTACGTAATAACATCACTATTAGCAGTGAAGAAAACATGCAAAGCGTAGGAACAAAAGCAGTGAATAAAAAATTAAACAAAATATTTAAAAAATTAAATCGAAGCAATTCAAAACTAGGCGCAACAAAGAAAGGATATCGCTTTAATGTAAAATCGTGTATTATTTTGTTACCTTTCAGCTTCGACTTTAAGGCGCTGCCATAGAACTTGTTGACGCATGCATTCTAAGGTTGATTCCGATAAAACATCACTATTTGAGCAGTTATCATCGCTATTAGTGTTTCTTGTTTTTTTTTTTTTTAATTTTGAGATTGAGATTTTGTTTGGCGGATTTGTGTATAAGGATGAGGGTGTGTGTGTAGTGTTGAGGATATAAAAATGTAAGGGGGTAAATAAGATTTTGTTTGTACAATTTTTGTATAATTTTTTTTAATTTGTATTGGGTTAGTAGTGAGACGAAAAAGAGAAGAAAAATTGAAATTTATAAAAATATGGTTTTATTTATGGAAATTAGAAATGAAAGGGTCTCATAGCATGAAATTAAGAAAATAATAAACCAAAAAAAGGGGTGAACAGATTTCTTCCACGTGTTATTCGTTGTACATCAAAATTAAACAACAACAAAAATAATGATGTTGGCAATGGTTATGGTTTCTTGAATTGGTGGTGGTGTTGATGATAAACATAATGTTGGTGCAAACCACTCCTTGGATGGTGTTGTTGTTGTTGCAACCTTAACCGGAACATTGAACAACAATATGAGAGAGAGGTGGATGTGAAAAAAATGAATGTAATGAAATGAAATAAAATATGGATTGGGTGCTAATTTTTCGCTCGAAGAGTATAACGGGGGTTGGGATAATTTCAAAATAAATAATCGCCCAGCTCACCTAATTTGTTGATGATGATTGTGTAGTTCTTCATAATTCGAATAGTGTTGATAACGATGATTGAAGATATCATTTTGATGAATACCAGCAGCTATTGCCGCAGCCATGGCTTCATTGGCACTGGTACTGTTGTTGTGACCACCACCGTTGCCATTGGCATTTGCCGGTGGCAATGGTGGTGGCGGTTGATATGCTGGTGGTGCCAATTTTGGATTACGATCTAATGCCGCCAAGGCTGCCACTGGGATTTGATTATTCGCCGGAGTCCTTTCATTGGCGGCATTATTTGTAATGGGCGGTTGAGACTCAACGGGCGCCACGCCATCTTTGCGATTTTTACCAAAACGGAACATATAACCGATGCCACGCAATATGCCCGGTTTTTTGGCACGAGATTTTTTGCCATCGTTCAGCGAGGATTGGCAGGGACCGTTGCGTTGATTGAAGCCACCCTCGGAGGGGTCACCATCTTCCAAAAGCCAGGTTTGTTTAGCTTCTACAAAAATATCAAACAATTAATTTTAAAAATTGATGAACGACAAAAATCTCCATGAAAAACCTACTCTTAACATCATGATCACTAGAGACAGCAGCTCTTAGACTCTCCTCACGACCCCGGCCGCGTGGTGCCCTCAGTGTTGTGGGTCCACCACGTGGTTCATCGGACATTTGTATCTCCTGCACCATGGTTTGCAACGATTCCAATGAGGAGGATTTCTTCAAACCCAACGATGGTCCCAAATCACCAACCTGATCCCTTGACTCGGCCTGCAATTGTTGTTGTTCTATACCCGAATTAGTTTTGGCATGTTTGTAGCCTGGTATTCTGGAATTAGCTTCAGCAATTCTTGCTGTCAACGATTCCATTGAACCGTAAATTGCTGATTTGGTTTGGGCCACACGACGTTCACGTTCTTCACGTAATTTCTTATTACGTTGATAGGTTCCCGTTTCGCGAGCATCGAGGGCGGCATGATGTTTTTCCGATATTGATCGTCTACCCAAGGCATCACGACTGAAATGCTCGACACCGGAATTAGTTTCCAAGCTCAGCTGTGATGAATATGTGGCATCAAAGTTCTGTGGTCCAGCAACACTGCTTACGGCCGATTGGGTGCCATTCGATGAGTTATTGGTAATGCTGGAAGCGATAGACTCATTGGGTCTATGTGGTAGGGTGCTGGAAATGGTAATGAAATTTTATTACACAAATTGGAATAACATTGAAAATTCGATGACATAAAATAGAGAAGAGATACAAAATTTCTATAAATAAGATATCGATAACTTTTCTATAACAGAAAGTTGTCGATAACAAATTTTTCTGTAGAGAATAGTTGTCGATAACAAATTTCTGTAGAGAAAAGTTATCGATAACAACATTTCTATAACGAAAAGTTGTCGATAACAACTTTTCTATAACGAAAAATTGTCGATAAAAACTTTTCTATAATGAAAAGTTGTTGATAACATCTTTTCTATAACGAAAAGTTGTCGATAACATCTTTTCTATAATGAAAAGTTGTCGATAACAGCTTTTCTATAACGAAAAGTTGTCGATAACAACTTTTTTATAACGAAAAGTTGTCGATAACAACTTTTTTATAACGAAAAGTTGTCGATAACAACTTTCCTATAACGACAAGTTGTCGATAACAACTTTCCTATAACGACATGTTGTTGATAACAACTTTTCTATAGAGAAAAAATTACCGATAATAACTCTTCTATAGAAAAAAAAGTTATCGATAACTATTTTTCAATAGAGAAAAGTTATCGATAACATATTTTCCACTGAGAAAGTTTTCTGTATAGTGTCAAGACCTCGAATCTACTTACGGTGATGTTGGTTCCGGATCATGTTCTATCAATACCGAATTATTGATATGCTTCTGATTATGATTGAAATTGGCCGGTGACCAAGTCTCATTTGTGGCCATATAATAGCTCTCATTGCGTAGAGCATGGGCACCACTATTTGCAGATGATTTAGCGGCAGCATTGCTACCGGCACCACCACTACCACCAGTTGACATAACCGTTGCCGTGCCGGTAATGGCATTGGAACGGCCTTTTTGTGTTGAACTGCCAGAGCAAGCACCACCAGTTAGGCGATCTAATACGGGGTTGCTCCAACTAGAAAACAAACATATTTTTATTTACAAAGATCAAATCGAAGAACTTGAGAATACTCACCGATTCATTTCATTTGTTGATGACGACGAACCACCTACATTACGATTATTATCGCTTCTCTTTTCCGGGCTCAAATAGATAACGGTGGCACCACTATTCTCACTGGTATTCGAACTGTCGTTGGTGTTGTGTTCAAGTATATCTCCCGAACTTGATGATCGGGTAATTTTTCGTGCCACCTGTAGCGTTATCATTCCCGGATGTTTACCGGGATTATTGACAATGGCACGTTTTAAAGTGTCCATAGCTTCGGCATTACTTTGGCCCAAGAGAGTAACACCATTAACGCTAATCAGCTGATCATTCATACGCAAACGACCATCCCGCGAAGCAGCTCCACCGTGTATAACACTTTTAACAAATATTCCCAAGTCACCATCATTTTTCATTGAACCCGTGGCACTACCATTTGATGACCCTGTCAAATTTGTTGTTGTCTTACCCTTGACACTAACACCCAAGCCGGCTTTTTCGGTGTCGTGAACGGGAATGTGTAGCGTTAGCATTTCCCGTGAACGCCATGAGACACCAGTTTGTAGGCTGTCCTGTAGGTGAAAGGAAAAGAGAATTTAGAAATCGGTTCAAAATTTCGTTACTTGAGTTTTGAATACTTACACTTGAGGCTGCCGATTCACTGCCGGCATCAATGAAATGCTGAGATTCATTCAGATTGTGATTTTGATGCTGCTGATGTTGTTCGAAAAGTGATCGGGCACTTTGTGACTTTTTCACCTCGTAGTGGGGTGTTTGTGGTAGAACTGGGGCTGGTGGCTTGGGTGGTGAGTCAAATTCATTTTCCTTGTTTTCAAAGTTCTAGAAAAAACGGAGAGAAGGAAAGGAAATTAGAAAGAAAATAACATAAAAAAGTTATCGATAACAAATTGTCTATAGAAAAAAAGATAACAAGTTATATAGAGAAAACATATCGTTAAGACTTTAATTGTTAACAAGTTTTATATAGAGAAATATTATCGATAACAAGTTTTCTGTTTAAAAAATCTATAGAGAAGAGACAAATTATCGATAATACTTTGCATACAGATACAAATTATCGATGACAAATTTTCTATAGAAAATGTTGTTGATAAAATTGTCGATAACAACAGTAAAGAAATCTTATCGATAAAATGATGTTTTTAGAAAAAAAAAACTATATCGATAACTACTTTTCTATACAGAAAATATATCGATAGTAACGTTTTTCTAGAGAATAATTATCGATAAAAATTTTTTACAGAAAAACTAATCGATAACAACTTTTCTATAGAGAAAAGTTGTCGATAACAATTTTTCTAAAAGGAAACTTATCGACAACAACTTTTCTATAAAGACAAGTTGCCGATAACAATTTTGCTATGGCAAACTGTGATCGATAATAATTTTTATATTACACAATGTGACCGATAACCAATTTTCTATATAGAAAACATATCGATAACAAGGTTTATCTGGAGAAAATTATCGATAACAAATATTCTGCAGAGAATACTAATCGATAACCACATAAAACTTATGGATAAAAAATTTTCTATAGAGAAAATTTATCGAGTAAAGTTACCGATAATACATATTCTATAGAAAACTTATCGATAACAATTTTTATTTGTCAACAATTTGGCGACAACAACTGAACTTAACGATAACATATTTTCTATATATGGAATTTATCGATAATCTCTTCTAGAAAATAATGTAGATACGATTGTTTCTATACAAAAATCTTATCGATAACAATCTTTCTATAAAAAATATCGATAACTAAATTTATATACAGACAAATTAGGTGATAATGTTTTATGTTATCGATAACAAATTTTCTATAGATACCAATTTTTTTGATTCCGAACTTTCGAATACTTACAATTTCCCTTTCCTCCGGTTCCGCCAGTTCAGTTTGCCTTGAAACCACTAGCCGAACAGTGGCTCCCGGCTGAGTTGCCCTTAGTATCGATACGACATCTGTTTGGGTTTTACCCGTCATAAGGATACCATCAACTTCGAGAAGACGATCTCCTGGCTTAAGGCGGCCATCTTCAATGGCAGCACCCTTGGGTAAAATATTCTTAATGTAAATGGGGCAATGACCTCCCGCGGGATTATCTCTGGTCGTTACTGAGAAACCCAAACCATTGGGTCCTTTCTTTAAAATAATTTCTATTTTACGACCCAATTTTCGGGTATTTGCCACCTGTAAAGAGGCACCAACGGGAGCGGTATTTGGCTTGCGTGTGGGCGAAACTGTGGCCACTTTGGTCTCCACACCGGAAGACATTTTCTCTTCGGCTTCAATCATCTCGGCCACTTTTGAGTCACGTCGCCGATATTTACTATCCTTGGTCGAGTTGCCGCGAATAACTCGAACCCTTAGCTCGGAAGCTTCTAAAGCTTTGCGTAGATATTCTTGAACTTTAAGTTCTGTAAGGCCAATAAGTTTGGTACCATTGATCTCCAAGATGCGATCACCTTTACGCAAACGGCCACGCTCAGCGCGACTACCAGGTTCGACATGTTGCACCAGTAGGCCACCACCGTGTTCATTGTCTGGAATGGCGGTTAGGCCCAATGGACTGCCATACTCATTGATGAGTAAAAGCATTTCACCATCTTTTTCGCGTATCGATTCATAGGCCTGGCCGAGGGGTTCCTTGCGGGTACTTTCACGTGGTAGGGATTTGCTGGAGAAGAAATTGGTCTGTTGTTGATGTTGCTGCTGTTGTTGGGAGGAATGTTGGGCTGTGGAATATTGGTTTTGTTGTTGTAACTTCTCCGCGGCCTCCATCCATTTGTAACCGGTGCCATCACCCAAAAATTGCATTGATAATCGACCCGATCGGGCAAAGGGTTGATGTGATGGTACTGCCTGGACATGATGTGGACCATCATCTTCTTCCTCCCATTGTGGGGGTAAATAGCCCGACTTCTCCATCAAGACACGATCGGGAGAGTCTCCACCGCAATGGGGTGCTGCCGCCGACCAACGTTTATTACCATTCTCTCCACCCTTAAGGGAGGCCAATAAATTCGGATCACTACTACGGCGAACCTGTAAACCCAAACCGGTTATGGGACAGGCCGTTGTGCTCGTCACCTCAATATGAGGTGTTGAGTTATCTATGTGACCACCATTGGTGGGTGCATCTGTATTTGTGGGATCCCGGAATATATCCGGTGAACCAGTTCCAACGGAAGAACTGCCGGAGGCACCATCTCCACCACCTTGTGGAACACCTGGATCCGGTCCAGAATCTTCAAAGCTGGCATGTATATATTCACGATCATCGGCGACATCGCGAACACAGTCATCCGGGTCCAAGATGCCGCATTGTGTTTGTAAATGGTGTACTGAGACCCAGGCATCGGGATCCTAGAAAGAGAAGGGGGAGAGAAGAGAAAAAATAGGAAAATTAGTAATCGATAATAGAATATTTGTTTTTTTTATTTGTTTATTTAAAAATGCTACGTGTCACGTTTGTCAACTATGAAGTTCAGTCGCCTGGGTGGGTCACGCGCCTGTGTTTTTGTTTTTTTGATCGCTGATAAAAAGGAAGTCTAAAGCGCGTCACTTGCCTGGGTATGGCTGGCTGATTGGCTTGTGGCTGAGTCGATGTCTGGAATATTAAGTGACCAGTGATGTTTTTGTTTTGCTTGTGTTGTTGTTGTTGCTGTGGTCAATGGTCAGTTTTGGCCCCAAACCAAAATTGGCAAAATTATTTTTTTTGGGGAATGGGAATAACAAAAATGGTTGGGTTGGAACAATACTCTTAAAAAGGGTTTTTATATTTTTTGGTAAATCAAAAAATTCCGAATATAGGAAAATTATTATTTTTTGGCAATGAAAATATTTGGATGTTTTTTTTGGCCATAAATAGCTTCTCTCAAAACTATTTCCCTGAAGATGACTGTCGAAGACAGTCGAAATATTGGAAAATAAAAATAAAAAATCAGACATCATAATACAGCATTTTATTTAACCTTGAGCCGAACTAAATCCAAACAAGAAAAATAATACATCACAGGTTAACAAAAACAACAAAACAATAAATAACATTGGTTATAACAAAAAGGGCCATGAAGGTTTGATTCTTCCGGGTAAAATAAGACAAATTATTTTTTTTAAAAATAATTTAATAGAACCCCAAAATTCAAAGGTTCTCAAACTCTATTTTCTATAGAAACAAATTTGAGAACTTGAGGTCTTATTTTTTATAAAAAAAAAAAATCACAGACCCTCAGCGCAATTTTTTTGTATGAAAAAATAACTGACCCTCAGGTCTGTTTTTTTGCTATAGAAAACAGATCAAATTCTTTATAGAAATTATTCATGGCTTTCAGCTCCCATTTTTTAATAGAAACCTATGGTTCTATTAAAAAAAATACACGCCTATTTTTTCCATAGAAAAAACTGCACAGACCCTGGTCCTATTTTTTTAACTCACAGACCCTCAGATTCTATTTTTTCTACAGAAAAAAAATCGCAGACATGTGGGTTCAATTTTTTCTATAGAAAAAAATGGTGAGACCTAAAAAATTCAATAGGATCCACTGGTATTTTTTTTATAGAAAAAATTCAATAGGATCCACTGGCCCGTTTTTTTTATAGAAAAAATTCGCATACCCTCTGGGTCCTATTTTTTGTATATAGAAAAAATCATAGAAACGTACGTCCCATTTTTTATTAAAAAAATTGGTGTGACCCTAGGTATCATTTCAGTTTCCAAAAATTTATAGGATCCACTGGTCCGGTTTTTTATAGAAAAAATTCACAGACCTCTGGGTCCTGTTTTTTATATATAGAAAATAAATAGTGGAACCGTACGTCGCATTTCAGTTTCCATTTTTTTCTATAGAAAACATTAAAAAAAGTTCTAGGATCCTCAATTTCCAATTTTTCCTATAGAAAACATTTCTGGACAGCTCAGTTCGCAATAAAATGTTTTCCATAGAAAACCTTTCTGGAAAGCTCAGTTCCCAAATTTTTCTTTAGAAAAAAAATCACCGAACCTCGGGGTCCTATTTTTTCTATAAAAAAATTCATAGACCTTCATATTCTACTTTTTTCTATAGAAAAAAATTCACAGAACCTCAGGGTCCTTTTTTCTATAAAAAAATCACAGCACCTCAGATTCTATTTTTTTTTCTATAGAAAAATTTTACAGTTCCTCAGGGTCCTATTTTTTTACAGAAAAAAATTCACAGACCCTCAGGGTCCAATTTTTTTCTACAGAAAAATAATCATAGATCCTCATATTCTATTTTTTCTATAGAAAAAATTCACAGACCCTCAGGTCAATTTTTTTTTCTAGATAAAAAAATGCATAGACCCTTAAGTCTCATTTTTTTTCTATAGAAAACAATTCACAGATCCTCAGGTCCTATTTTTTCTATAGACAAAAATTCACATACTCTCAGGTCCTATTAAAAAAAGTGTATAAAAAAACATTTGATTTAGTTTCTTTAAATTTTCTATAAAGAAAAAATTAGGAATCGAGGTCCTGGAATTTTTTTCGATGAGAACTCAGTTTTTATTTTATTCTATATCGTGGGAAATTCTTTCGTATTCTTTGTTAAATATTGAACCTGACGTCCTTTTTTTCCAAATGTCCAACATTTTCCAAATATTTCCCTTTCCATTTTGTTTTCCATCTAACAACATTTGACTTATTCGGCAATGATTCAGGCCAACATGAACAAACAAAACCAAATCTCCCCCCTTAAAACTTACAATCACTGAGAATTTACTTGCATTTCAAAATTCAACAATAATAATTACGTGAAGCTATACGATTTTTCAATTTTCGTTCGTTCATACCCTCCTGCCCCCGCCCCCTTCATTTTCATGGATGGCTGAATGAACCCAAAATTGAAATGGAAAAAAATCTCAGAGTGATTCATAATAGACAACAACAACAGTAGCACAGAGACAACAACTATTTTGGCCAAAAGGTGAATTAACTTGAACTCATTCGTCGGATCGAACAAAAATACGACACTACACTACAATTGAAAAGTCTACGTCTATTGTTAATCTTCATTGATTATGGAGTTTATTAGTTGTGCGCCAAATAAAATGGTCGGTTTACTTTCCGAATAAGAATTTCAAATATTTTCGTGTTAAAATATATTGACAAAAAATTCAAGAAAAAAATTAAAGTAAAAAAAAATTAATCGTCGACAAAGCTTGAAATTGTCCAAATTCTTGAGACGATTATTTATGGTCCGTTGAATCCTTGATGATTTCTATAACTGTGTGTGTGTTTGTAGTGATGCAATTTTTTGGATATTTTTTTGTTGTTGCTTTGGGTCTCATTGGCAAATATTTTTTTGTTTGCAGTGATCGGAGGTGGAATGTCGTAAACCGTTGACGTTTTTCACATATATTTTGTATACAAATTTTTCCAATAGAATTTTTCTCTCACAGATGATTTTTAATACAAAATAAATATATTTTTCTATAAAAAACAATTCAAAATTTTTTTTCTTATAAAAAAAAAAATCACAAACCCTCAGGTCCTATTTGGTTGAAATTTTTGACGGAAATACAGGTTTGTTATTTGTTCATCAAAACAAGTCCAGGCTGCGGATTTTATTTTAACTTAAAGTATTTAGTCTTCAGATGTCGATCCTATTTTTGAATACCAAGAATCAACTTTTAGGCCTGGAATCTTTTTTTATATAAATCTGCGCTCCTAAAATTGAAAAAATACATCCTTCCTTTTCCCTCCTTCTCACATTTGTCGTGATTGTATGAAACTTCTCCATACAACCCCATCCCTGCCTTGTAACACAACAGAAATATTTACTGCATTTTTTCGGAGGTAGGGGGAGGGTCTAACTGGCTCACTGACTTTTTGTTGTTTCTTGGTGGCTGGTTGCTTGCTAGCCTTATTTAGTCATGCCTAACACTTGGCTGTGTTAACAATCTAGTTTTAGCCAAAATTGTGGTATTCGTTTTTGTTTGTGTTTTTTATTCGATTTGGAGGTTTTTCTTTTGGCGGTAAAAACAAACATACTGACTCACATCCAAATGCCACAACTTCACTGCACCATGCTGCCTGCATTTGTGCACCCACCACATGTTTGATTTGTGGACTGCAACAACAAAAGAAACCTTCAAAATATATTTTTTTATTATTACAATTTTTATTGGGTGTTAATGTGACTCACATTTAATTTATTTATTTAATATTTAAACTTGAAATAAAAATAAAATGTTCCTTGGTGTCAATATCGAAAGCTATTCGGGGGCGTTGAAGAAGATCCAATATTTTATGAAAAAAAATCGTAACTGGTGAAACCAGAATGGGAACTGAGGGATCCACAATTTTTACTAAAAAATTGGATCAAGGGAACGATTTTTATTTTCTATAGAAAAATATAGGTTCTAGGGTCTCCCGATTTTTTTCTATAAATAATAGGTTCCCAGAATTTGTTTCCTATAGAAAAATTGGGAAGTGAGGTTCCCAGAATGTTTTTAGAGAAAAAACTAGTGAACTGAGCTTCCCAGAATTTTGTTCACATAATTAAATGGGGAACTGAGGTTCACAGAATTTTTTTCTATAGGAAAAATAGAGAACTAAGGTTTCCAGAATTTTTCCTATAAAAAAATTGGGAACTGGTGTTTCCTAGAATTTTTTCTATTGAAAAAATTAGGATCTGAGGCCTCACGATTTTTTTCTATAGAAATTAAAAAAAATATTTCAAAAACTTGGGAGCTGGGGTTCCCAGAATTTCATTCTATAGACAAAAATAGGGAACAGAAGAAATTTCAAGAATTTTTCTCTATAGGAAAAATAGGGAACTGAGCTCACCAGATTTTTTAGATAAATGGGGAACAGAGGTTCACAGAATTTTTTCTATAGAAAAAATAGGACCTTTTATATAAAGAAAATAGGGCCTGATAAATGTTTCCCTATAGAAAGAACGACCTAGGATCCCACCATTTGTTTATAGAATGTTTTTCTATAGAAACTTAGGACCTAACTACGTTCCCATGCATTTTTTCTATAGCCAATAAAATAGACCTTAGGGTCCCATGATTTTTATATAGAAACAAATATAGAAGACCTCGAATTTATTTCTGGCCGTTCCATGAATCAAAAAAGTAGTACTTTTTTCAGTGAGATTATTTATACTCTTTCGAGTCGAGCTTGATGATCTAAGTTTTGCAATGAAAAGGAAAGCCAGGAGAAGAACCTACGTACCCACCATTATGCGGCTCATCAGGCATATAGGATCTGAGGGCCTTACAATTTTTTTCTATTGAAATTAGAAATTTTCTATAGAAAAAACTTTGGAGCCGAGGTTTCCAGAATTTGTTTCTATAGGAAAATAGGGCTCTGATCTCACCAGAGTTTTTTAGAGAAAAAAAAAAATAGGGAACTGAGCTTCCCAGATTTTTTACATATAACTAAATGGAAAACTAAGGTTTCCAGTTTTTTCTATAGATAAAATATGGAACTGAGTGTCACACAATTTTTTCTGTAGACAAAAATAGGACCTAGGGTCTCACAAATATTTCTTTCTATAGAAAAAATAAGACCTATCGTGAAACCCGATTTTTTTTCCTTCTATAGAAACAAATGGACCTAGGGTTTTACGATTTTTTTATAGGAAAAATAGAAAATAGGACCTAGGGCCCCACTAATTTTTTCTTTAGAAAAATATTTTACCAACGATTTTTTTTATAGAATTTTTTGGCCTTTCCATGATTTGTTTCTATAGAAAAAAACAGGACCTAGGGTACTTCGAGAAGGACCTAAAGATTTTTTTCTTTTTGAAAAAAATATGACCTAGGGTCCCACGAATTTTTTTCTATAGAAAATAGTACCTTGGATCTCATGTCTAATATGAGTCTTATATTTTGGGATTCTTTTTTGAAAACATGAAACAGAAAAACAATTATTTTCAATAAAAATGTTTATGATGTCATTCCAAAATGGGATAAACATTTATTATTTTATTACATTCTGTAAACCGGAACTATGCTGGAGACTTTTTTGGCTCTGTGGAAGGGCTAATGAACTTCCTCCCTGGTCATTTTTGGTTTTGTAAATATTTAAATAATAATAAAAAATTAATTAAAATTACGGAATTACCTTTACATAACCATATGGTGAGGGTGGCCTCTTCGTGGGCAGTGTCAGAGAATAGGATTTTTGTAAATAGGAATGTTGGATGCCTTCGTGTTTTGCGGAAACTTTATAGGTATGACGCCAACCGAAAATGCCCGTCAATTTATTAGCCAATGCCGGACATTTTGGTGGTAAATCGAACATAATGATGATCGTAATGGTGGCGGGAGTTTATTTTTTTGGTATTCCGGAAAAAGACTACAATTTGGATTTCTTTGGTTGGTTGATTGGTTGTGATGTCGTCGTTTTTAATGGTTAATTTTTGTTTTTTTTTTTTTGTTTTATAAATTATTAAATAATACTTTTTTAGATTTTACTTTCGACGTTTTGTGGTGCAAATGACAAACTTATTTTGTTAAGTCATTTTTTTCTTTGGAAATTTAATTATTTTTCTCATTGTGTTTTTGGTAATTTTTTCATTTCCCTTTTTTACTTTTGTTGTTAAGAGAGCGTAAGAAAGTTCGAGGAGGTTTTATTTATTTTTATCTACGAAAAAATTAAATTCATTTAATTTTATATTTCAATTAAAATTTATTTTTAGGCGTTTTCTTTTCCAATTGTTAATTTATTGGAAAAGGTGTTGTATTGTTTATTTTAAAATTAATACTACTGAAATATTTTTTTTCTAGTTCGTTTGGTATTGGAAATAAAATATTTATTTGTGTAGTCATTCAATTCAAGTGTTCCGATTCATTATCTTTGTTATAACAACAACAAAAAACCCACAAAATGGAACAACAACACCAATAAAGGTGACAAATGTTCTGATAATGACGCAATTCTACTACCATTAACGGCGAATAATAAGAAGGTAAAACAAAACAAAAAAAAAATAAAGAAGTGCAGATATCTTTCTCGGTTCCGCCGGTCTTCTGTCGTTTTGGCACAAAAAAAATTAATAATAATTAAGTCAGTGGAAGAGTAATCTTATCTCAAAAAAAAAAGAGGATTCCCAAGACATAGAGATAGGGAGATATTCGTAAGTAAATATCTATCAGGTGGATTTTTTTGGAAATTAATTAAATTAAAAACAAAAAAGCCCTACATATTTCACCAATCAGGAGCAAAGGGTTTGCATTTTTTTCCTGTTCTACTGGTACGAATATGACACCAAAATGGCTTTATTAGACTTTAAAAATGTCCCCTGGATTTTCGTTGAATATTTCTACACCCATACCCAAATATTTGTAGAATTTTTTTATCGCCCATTTTAAATACCCCCCAAATTGATGAATGGGATTTTGTTTATTTTTTTGTTGTTGTTGCTGCTGTTTTATCAACAAACTCTGGAAATACTTTTGTTTAATGAAAATTGCATTGTTTTGCAATAACAATTAGTAAATTTGTTTGATTAGAAACTTGAGAATGTGGGTAAACCCATAATTATTACCTGACACCTGATAAGATATGGCAACAAATAACTGGGGATTTTGGAAAAAAAAGCTCAGTACACAATGTTTTCGGGGAACCACAGTTCCCATTTTTTGTAGGAAAAAATTCGGGGAACCTCAGTTACCATTTTTTTCTATAGAAAAAAATTCGTGCAACCTTAGTTCCTATTTTTTTCTATAGAAAAAAATTCGTGCAACCTTAGTTCCTATTTTTTTCTATAGAAAAAAATTCGTGCAACCTTAGTTCCTATTTTTTTTCTATAGAAAAAATTCGTGCAACCTTAGTTCCTATTTTTTTCTATAGAAAAAAATTGGTGCAACCTTAGTTCCTATTTTTTCTATAGAAAAAAAAATCGTGCAACCTTAGTTCCCACTGGAACCTTTTTTATTATTTTTCTATAGAAAAAAATTCTGGGACCCTCAGTTCACAATTTTTTCTATAGAACAAATTCTAATTGATTTTTTTCAAAAAAAAAAAAAAAATAATAAATAAATAAATAAAAATAATAAAATAAAATAAAACCTGTAGTAATAATCGAACTTATGTATTTTTATGTTTAAACTATACATCAATGTGTGATGCATACTTTTAGGGGCAACAAGTTCTTTCAATTAATTTTCTTAATTTTTTCTACAGATAAAACTGGGAACTGAGGATCTGCGAATTTTTTCTGTAGAAAAAAATAGGAAGTAAGAATATGCGATTTTTTTGGACTTGAGATATTTGATTTTTTTTCTATAGAAAACAATTGAAGCAGAAGCTCTGCAATTTTTTTCTATAGAAAGAAATAAGAGCTGAGGCTCTGCGATTTTTTTCTATAGAAAAAATAGGAGCTGATACTCTGCAAATATATTCTATATGAATAATAGGTTCTGATTTCTTTCCAGAAGTTTTTTCTATAGAAAAAAATGGGAACTAAGGTTCCCAGAATTTTTTCTGTAGAAACGAATGTGGAACACAGATGCCTAGAATTTTTTCTATAGAACAAATATGGAACAGAGGTCCCTAGAATTTTTTTTAGAAAAAAATAAGGAATTAAGTTTCCCAGTATTTTTTCTATAGAAAAAATGGGAAATGAGTTTCCCCGAATTTTTTTCTATAGAAAAAATTGGGAATTAAGTTTCCCCGAATTTTTTCTATTGAAAAAATTGGGAACTGACGTTCCCAGAATTTTTTTCTATAGAAAAAATTGGGAGCTAAGGTCCTATAATTTGTTTCTATAGAAAAAAAATGGAACTGATGTTCCCAAATTTTTTCTCAAGAAAATAAGCCTTTGGGCTCTATATTTTTTTATAAAAAATCGTTCAAATTAGTTTTAAAATCTCCTATAGACACAATTTTTGTCGTATTTTTTTAAGAAGTTCACTACAGTATGATTATTGTAGGCTTGACTAATACAACTTTTTATTGTTTAATAGCAAATTAAAAAATATATATGTAAGGTCATATATGACCTTTAAACATCCGGCATTTGTTTTGAAATATCTGCTCCGCATGTAGGTTATCTAGGTGAACAAATAAACATTCAACTCATTTTCACTTCCCTTGCTTGCTGTGGACCTAATATCCGTAAAAAAATTATTTTAATTGCATCGTTTTACATATGCACACAAGTCTCTTCTCTACAAGACAAACAAAACGACACACAGTCAAACAGTTAGTCAGCCAGACAATGCACTTGTTTAAACAATTTTGGAAAGCTCCGTGGAGTGCTTAACCTGGCCCTCTTTGCTGCTTTTACAGCTCTTAACCTCTTTCCAAAAGGTGCAACATAACTGAAATTGAAAATGTTCACATCATGAGGGGGAAAACCAAGGGGGAGGGAAGTTAAAAATGCACCAGTCAAAATATCAGATACATATCAGCCTCCTCATCATCATCCTAACTACAAACATTTAAAGAAAATCTCCGAACTTATTGTTGTTGTTAAAAAATAGTTAACAAGCTTATTGTGTGATGATTTTTGTTTGTTTGGAGAAAAGAAATTTTTTTCTTCCTGTTTTGTAAAATGAGATCAACATTCAAGAGGCGGAGAGAAAAAATCAAAACAATAACAACTTGTTGGTTTTGAAAAAATGCAGCGCCAGCACATTACTTCGAATATCTGATTTCAAGACTGTAATCAAACCACCCAGACGACGACTTGCACCCCCAGATTACCTCTCTATCCCTCTCCCCTAGAGGAAATAATTATCCAGCCAAGTGGCTGTTGGTGGCTTATGAGCAGAAAGTGTTGCAGTATTAAGGCTTTTGTTGTTGTTGTATTGTTGCTATTATATAAATTCCCTTAGAGTGTGTTGTGCGGTTGACTGTCCGTCCATTTGTAGCCATCTTTTGTTTGTAAAGTGTCACCATAAAGTTGTTAATGTAAATAATAGTTAAATTTGATTGTCTCCCATTTTTATGCTGTCCTATTGTGTTATTATGTTATGAAAGTCATAATATTTGTTTGCTATGTTATATACAATAAATGAAGTGATACAAAATATAAACAAAGGGAATTTGTAGAAAAAAATAGTATGTTGAAAGGAGAAAAAATAAGAGCAAAGGGTCATTGAATTTTTTTATAAAAAACTGAGGCCCCATAAATTTTTTTCTCCAAAGAAAAAAAAATGGGAACTAGGGTTCAGTTCAGCTCTTATTTATTCTACTAGAAAAAAATTGGAGAGCCTCATATCCTTTTTTTCTATTGAAAAAAAAAAAAAAAAAATAATCTAAGATTCTTTTGTCTTATTTTTTGATGGAAACAAAATCGGAGAACTTTCAATAGCAAAACATTTGACCTGGGGTCCCACGAATTTGTTTCTATAGCAAAAATGTGACCTGGATCCAGGGAGTCTGTGAAATGTTTCCTATGGAAAAATTAGTATTTGATTTGTTTGTAGAAAACACCAAAGCGTCTTTGATTTGTTCATACAAAATAGGACCTCATGTGTCTGCGTTTTTTCCAAGATCTTCAGATTCTCAGACCTATTTTTTCTATAGAAAATAATTCGGAGAACCTCAGTTCTAATTTTTTTTCGACAGGAAAAATTCGGAGAACCTCAGTTATAATTTTTTTCTACATAGAAAAAAATCGCGAAGCTCCCATTTTTTCTACAGAAAAAATCGCAGAGCTTTTTTTTAATTCACAGCTCCTATCGCGAGCCTCAGCTCCTATCTTTTCTATTGAAAAAAGAAAAAATAATTGCAGATCTTCTTTTCCTCTTTTTCCTCTTTTTTTATGTAAACAAAATCGGAGAACTTTCTATAGAAAAAAGGACATAAGGCACCAAAAATGTTTTCTATAGCAAAAAAGAAGAATATGAAAAAATGGGAAATAGGGTTCCACGTATTTTTTTCCATATATAATAAATAGGACTTCGAGTGTAAGTAAATTATTTTGTATAAAAAATAAGTGATAGTGATTATAGAAAAAATGGGACCCAAAGAAATAGAAAAAATAGGATCCAGGGAGTATGTGAAAATTTTCCTATGGTAAAAATAGGAAAAAATGAATTTGGAGAACCTCAGTTCCTATTTTTTCTATATGAAACAATTCGGAGAACTTTAGTTGCTATTTTTATAAAAAAAAGTCGAAAAACAGTTCTTATTATTTCTATAGAAAAATTGCAGAAACTCTGTTCCTTTTTTCTATAGAAAAAATTCGTAGAACCGCAGTTCCTTTTTTCTATAGAAAAAATTCGCAGATCCTCAGTTCATAATTTTTCTAGAGGCAAACATTTGAAGAACCTCAGATCGTATTTTTTTTCGATCGAAAAAAATG